AACATCATTTATGGCTGCTTGGAAATTACATATTTTATTACTACAATTTAAAAACAATAAAAAGTTATTACTCAGGTGAAAGATTAGTATTTGATTAAATTGTTCTTGTTGTGTTATATAATTATTTGTTTGATTTATTGCAACACCCACACAGAATGTTTTAGGTGAACTCATTCGCTGCCAGCAGTTTCCTGTTCGGTAAAGCCCTTCGCTGCCAGCGTTTCTCACCGTTTTTTCTGTTATTTTAAGTCCCAGAACGTGCGCTAGGATGATGTCGACACCAAAACAACCAAAACAAAGTGGAGACTCACATCTTGCATCAGGAAGAATCCACGCGTTTCGAGCATTATCCGTTTTTTCATAATCCGTTGTTGAATTGTGATCAGCAGAAGCTTTTCCAGTTCGCGTCTCACCTTTTTTTTACAGCAGCGGCCCAAAATGATCTCCTAACACATGGATTTTCTGCTTCCTGATCACATGACGTGTGACGTACGTGGATGAAGATCGGCTTTAGAGCTGAGATGTTTGTTCTCATGGTGCGGGGGTTCATTCCGATGCCCACACAGTAAAAACATGCAAATGACAACTTTAGTCGTCATTGACAGTGAACGGTTAGATTTAAAATGACAACTTTAGTCGTCAATGGCAGTGAATGAGTTAAAGGTTACAGAAAATATTTTTTTTATTGAAAGCCACGCACAGAAATAACGCTCTCTGCCAATAGAAATAGAAATGTTTTGCTCACTTATCTTTGTGTTGGATTTCCTAAGGACTTTATACTGTTGCTGACATGAAGGACCTACAGAGTTGCTCACACAGACATAAGAAGTGGAATGGAATAAGTCCACTTTGAGCTAAGATTAAGAATAATGTTTGGAACTGAAAAAATGTCAAGCTGTAAATGTTAGTGCAGGGGTGAAATGGTGCAGAGGGACAGATGCCAAGTGACAAAAACAGACTGACAGACATGAAGTGGTGCAAACGTGAAAGGTCACAGTTTCAGGATAAATGCATGTTTTCTACAGGTTTATAACCCGAAACCAACAATCAGAGACTACTGCACATGTTTGTACATGTGTTTTCAGCCTCTCACACAAGCAACAAAGTGTCTCAGTCAAACTGGCACGACACACATGTGTTAACACCCTGTGGCTTTATCTCAACGTGGATTCGCTTAAGACCAAAGAGCAGTTCTAATATTGGTAAGAGGCACTAACTTGGCTCCTGCTGTGAATTTAATTTGATCTTGAAGCAACCTTATGGGGGTGTGAGCTAAGCTTTCATCCTGCTCTGGGAATCCAAATCAGTTTCTTCTTGACATACTTCTTAAAACTGCTTTTCTTACACTGTTCAGAATTAAACTATGTTCTCCTGTGGCCACCATAAAATTATGCCACATTAAATTTAGCCTTAACATGGTGTAACCTAAATTTGCACGGCTATTTAAATTACAGTAAATAAAAATACCAGTGAAATTATTAACCCTTGTGTTTGACATTTAATAATTATTCCATAATGCACATTTTTCTTTATTTGTAGTTGTCCAAACAGCCATAAACCCCTTACAGTAACAAAGTTTCCCTCTTTACCTTCACATCTACTGATCAATATAGAGTTCATTTTAAACTTTTATGTGTTTTCAAATCTTTAAAGAGTCTTGTCCGGTCCCACCTCTCTTACTATTGCACGTGTACTTCTCTTTTTGGTCACTCAGGTCATCTGACCAGCTGAGGACTCAACGTAAGCTCAGAGGGAAGGAACTTTGCTGCGGCTTGTCCCAAATCATGCAGCCTGAGTGCACAAAAAAAGGTCGGGGGGGTGGGGGGTGGGGGTGGGGGAAGTAAAATTTCTGAGTGTTTGCAGTAACATGACTGTCTCCAGCATGAGCAAGTTCAGAGAGACCAGCCAATCAGAGGCAAGTGTCCAAATATCAGGAGACAATACTAAGACTCCAAATCCTGTTGTTTTCTGATCCCTGCTCCTCCATCTAACTTCCAGTTAGATAGAAGCAGCAGAGATTTCCCCCCAAAAGATCAACTCACAAGTCAGATAGATAGAGATAGATAGATAGATAGATAGATAGATAGATAGATAGATAGATAGATAGATAGATAGATAGATAGATAGATAGATAGATAGATAGATAGATAGATAGATAGATAGATAGATAGATAGATAGATAGATAGATAGATAGATAGATAGATAGATAGATAGATAGATAGATAGATAGATGATAGATAGATGATAGATGGATGATAAGGCATACCGGAGATCAGTGCAAATGTACTGACAAAAACAAGTGCACTCGGCCTTTCAATAAATAATGTTGGAATGTGAAGCCTAAAGGTAAAGTACCAAAGTATCTTATGAGGTTTTTCACAATAGAGAGAGAACACCATCTAAAAATAAAATGATTTGGAAGATATTAAAATACTTTGAAATATGGAAACTGCATGTATAATCTAACAGAACAATCCTGGGGTGACCAGATTATGTGAAAACTGTTGAGTTTATTTTCTGTAGTCTGCAGCTAAGTGACCAGCTGGGATCATCAACAACAAAAACAGATGATCAGACCTGCTGTATCAGTGTCACACACTGATTAAACATTAGAAACCAGGATGAATATCTGTCATATTTACTACCGAAAACTAACTTCAGCGTGTTTCATTTTGCTTTTTATGGAGCCGATGTGGATGTTTCCAAAACCAAAACTTGTGGGACACTTGTTCTTTTAAATTAATCTAAGAAGTTAACTTTAATCTTCTGCTCATATGAAACATTAAATATATTTATATCAGATATCTGGAGAAAATATCCCGTCTGCCTAATAAATGTTAAAATGACCACCTATTAAGTTTTTAAGTATTTGAGATATCTCAAACGTAATTCCTACTTCTGCATTTGTTAGTAAATCAAAAATAATTTATATTAGTAACAAAATAGCTGTTTATACATTTATTTTCATTAACCCTAACAGAGAAGATATGCCTGTTTATTGTGCTCGATGGCCAGCCACTGTCGGCGGTGAGTAATGTTGGGTTTAGACGCTTAAGAACACCTCGAGCCTTGCTACGTTATGCCCAGCCGTCACTACATTGTCGACAAGACCATACCCCAGATTCATAAACAAGTTAAAACGTGCATTGCTACACATCTGGATAAAGCAAGTGCTGTTTTTTCTCAATGTCTGGCTTTTCTTTGTTCAAAGGCAGACTAGGCAGTGCTTGTTTTTAGCGCTCCCTGGTGTCCGTTTTTATTCTCTCAACAGCAAAGTGAAACTTTTCTCCTCGCTGACCATCTGTCATCTTAACACCTTAATCTAACAGCTGAATTGTCTTCCAGCCTTTCTTTGTGACTACAGGAGTGATTGGTCATTAAATTAAACAAATTAGCTGTGTTCATGATCTAAAACATGCAAGAAAACTGCTGGAATCAGACAGCAGTGACAGATGTCAGCTCAATTGTTTTCCAAGTCCCAACAGAGCGGCCCGTCAGGCTGCAAGTTGCAAATACGGTATTCTGGCCATAGAGGGTTATAGGGTCTAAGCGACATTTCATTAAACCTGTGAAGGGTCATTTTAGCACATACTGGCTCAAGAAAATTATTTAAAAATATGCAAAAGTTGCGATTCCTGTACGGAATGTCACTTGATCAATCCTTTCATACGACACCGACTGTCTCCTCCCGTCGCTCCCAACTCTGGCACCCTAACCCTGAGGCACTAAGTAGCCAGCATGCATGTTCAACACCGTTGAACTTTCTTTACATTAGCTGGTTCAAAAACCTAAAACTCCATATGGAGATTACAGCTTGGTGGTTTGGAGCTTCCTTTATGTGGGCCTTCCTCTATAAATGGTAGATGGCCTGTATTTGATATAGCGCCTTCTAGAGTCCTGGAACCCCCCAAGGCGCTTTACAACACAATCAGTCATTCACCCGTTCACACACTGGTGGGGATGAACTATGGTGTAGCCACAGCTGCCCTGGGGCGCACTGACGGAGGCGAGGCTGCCGAGCACTGGTGCCACCGGTCCCTCCGACCACCACCAGATTGTGCTGGTTTACAAAAAATATGATTTTTAAGTTTTCTTATAACTTCTTCTGTTCTTCAAATCACTTGGGTGATTGATTCACAAATATGAATGTGTAAGGATGTGTACAGAATAAATACTGATGCTGTGCGATGCAGTAACAGTGAACGTGTTAAAAGTTGCTGAACACAACTGCAGACTAGAAGATAAACAGTGGTGAAGCTGCCTGTTCTGGCAGAAATGACAAATCACAGCTGCTCTGATGGCGCAGGTTTACATTCCTCCAAGTGATGAGACCCAGGAGGCCCTGTGGGAGCTTTAAAGCGCTATCAGTTCAAACTGTTCATCCTGACAGCTTTATCATGGTCTCCTCAGATTTCAGTTATGCAGATTCTAATACTGCTCTACCCAAGTACCGTCTAAGTTACGGTCAGGCTGTATGAAAGCAGATCAGACTCTGACCTGAGCGTGTGACTGCAACATATCAGGACTGCTCTATTTACACTAACCTGTAGACATTAGGAGATGTGCTCCAAACAGACATTAATGAGTATACAGAGAGGTGCAAAGGTGATGTCACAATTATCAAAGTCTTTACCATCCAGGCAACATATATTTTATTTAGCTGAATGAATTATTGATATTTTTTATTTTGTGTTTCTTGCATGCACTCTCATGGTTAATGAAGTCAACCAAGATAATTAGTCAGAGGTCATAATGAAATGTCCCGAACTGTTCCCTTCACACAACTAGAATTAAAACTGTCTGGAAGCTTGGTTGCCTTTTTAGAGCTGCTCTTTGGTCACATCAGAAAGGGTAAGCATTGCAGTAACATTAGATGTAATGGGTGGAGTATTTCGCCACTGGTTTGAAAACAAACAGGGTCGCTGCTATGAGCTGCAGGTTCTAACTTAAGTTAGTAATTTTTCTTTCTAGGAGTTAGGGGTTGTGGCACATAGTTTACCTGAGGTTAGTCTCTGAGATACTCCTTTGGTGCAAGTCCTCTTCTTCCTCCACCAAATCCTCCTGATGCTGCTCAACTCTGTCTACCTGTCCCCTTGACTCCTTGTTTCCTCCCTGCAATCCCCCCTCCTTTCTACTCTCTCTCCTTCTCTCTCCCATCTCCTCCTCCTCCTGCACCTCGCCTAACTGCTCATCCCCCTCCCGTGAATGGCCTCTCGATTGCAACTGGCTGAAGATGGAGACAGAAGTAAAGAGAACACATGCAAAGCAGAAAGAAAACCAAAGCATGAACAACACCAACAAGTGAATAAAACAAGACAAATATAGAGACATCGCAGCCAAAGCAGAGATGTAAAATAACAGAAATCATAGATATAAACTTACAGCAACGCATCATGCAAATGAAACTTCTTATTTTGCTTTAGGCAACACAAAAATAATGCAACGTGTTTTACTTTGCAGCGTCAGAAACTGCCAAAACAGCTCGAGTGAAGTGAGTTCAGTCATTTGCAGCATGCATCCTTCTGCTCAGGTCATACCAGGTGAAAACAATTTCGGAAATGAAAACTAGATGTAGTGATGTCAGACGTTGAAGTGAACCTCTTCCTGATAACAACTTGGCGATCATATAACAGTAAGAAACCAATGTGGATCATCAACTTACCGGATCTTGCGATTTCCCACAGGTCTTTCTGACTGGACAGACATGTAGCTTGTGCTGCTGAACCGAGAGGCACTGCTGGTTCTTGATACAGCAGACACGTCGCTTACATCGCTGTCCGACGACTTCGCTGACAGGTTGTCTGAGCCCCGTGGGTCTCTTCCTGAACGCTGCAGAGGGGACAAAAAAAGAACTACTGTTATTTATTCTAAGTTACTTTATTCAGAGATAGAAACAACTTAAAGAACCCTTTTAACACTGTTCAGGTCAGCCTGTCACAACCTGTAATTTGTGGTAAATTAAAGGGTGGTGAACTGCAAAAGCAATCAAATAGCCAAATCAAAGACTGTGCATTAGAGAAGACATAGAAAATCATCGCACTTTGGCATTGATGATATGCCTTGATTATGGAGTGCTAATGGACCATATTTGGTGGAAAAGCATCATGAAGCAGAAGCTCCACATTATTAAAGTTATTAAACAAAACAGTGTTTCCCATACATAGGCTCAGCTGCGCCACGCCTGAAATTCTAGTGCCTCATAGCAGTGAAATGGTCGGTGAATGTAGTGTGTAATGTAGAGGATCGCTCCAATCTTGTGTGAAGCAGCAACGGCTGTTCTGTGTGTTCTGTCTACACCTCAGGTCGGACAAGCTACGCCTGGTTAGCGTTTAGTGTAGTTTGATAATCATGGTGGAGCCTCAGACAAAATAAAGGAAACATTTATTATTTGGAGCTAACAAAAGAAAAAGTACCGGGGTATGTCTGACCACAATAGGAGTCAAGCAAGAGTCAACATCAGGAGTTTTCTGAACCACAAGAGCTCAGAAACAAAGGATTCAAATTGAATGTAGGCCTAACAATCATCCTAGTGTTCTTGTAAACACAAATTTAATATGTTTTGTTTTGACTTTCCCTGGTTTGCAATCATTTCTAAATGTGTTTGTCAGGCAGCAGTGATCGTGTCCTGTTTCATCATACACTCATCCTAAGATCCACATAAGCTCTTTTCCCAGGAAAATGTTCCATCACTGATGCTTTCCCGTTTCTAAATGATGTTACTGTATCCTCAAACACCATTGAATCCTCAGCGCGCCGCGTGAACTCAGCTCGCGGCCGTGGTCCTGTCATGTCATGTAACATGCCTGTCTGTGATCACGCAGCGCTCTGAATCTGCGTTTGGGTTTGCTGACACTCTGCAGCCTTTACCTGTGGTCACATGATTTACCAGGAACTCTGTTAGTCAGAGGTAAAGTGGCTAGCCAACATGCTATAGCGCTAGAGTATGCATCCATTGCATGATTCTACATGTTTTGGATCGTGAATACATCTGATTTGTTTGATTTAGTGATGAACCGCTTCTGCAGAAACTAACAAAGGCTGAGGAAACATTTCAGCTAGTTCAAGGTGTTTAAAAAAGATACAGGAGGAGAAGAGTGTAAGTTTTGGTCTCACAATAGAGAATTAATAATGGACTCTAGAGCGTACTAAAAGCAAGCCACAACTGCATCGTTTTCTTTTAATTAGTATTGACAGCAGTGTTTATTTATTTATTTACTTTTCACCATGGGTTTTATCCTCCTACTTCTGTTGCTAATCCAGCAGAAATAAATAGTAAATATTGTGAAGACCATGGCCAGCTCCTTCAGTGGCAGACTGAGACATTCAAGATGTAAAACAGAATGTTACCATAGGTCACTCTTCCCCTCTGCAGTAAAGCTTACTGCCCACTGCAAGCATCAACAGGGCGAAATAGCAGCAGGACGTCACTACTTCAAATAGAATCCATTATAGTCTATGGGGTGATTCAAACCAGCAGCGACGCGGCTATTTTCAGGCGCATCCCGAAAGCGGCACACTGCTAAAGATGGGATCGGGTTCTATTTTTGCTGCAAGTCGCTTCTGGGATGCGACAATTTCCACAGCTGACATAAGGCTAGTCAGGAAATCACATACAATTTCAGTGTAAAATCCCCAGTGATTTTCAAAATAAAAGTCTTTGCAGCAATGTAAATTCATATCTATGTAGATTATGTAAAAACAAGTGACTTAGCAGCTTATTTACTCTCAGCGTCTTAAAACATAAGAACTAATATATATATATATATATATATATATATATATATATATATATATATATATATATATATATATATATATATACATATAAATATATATATATATATATATATATATTTTTTTTTTTTTTTACTTTCCTTGTTCATTTAAATGATAAATGACACGTACTTGTATAGCGGCTCTCAGAGTTAGGACTCCAAAGCGCTTTACACTACAGTGTATCATTCATCCATTCACACACTGGTGATGATGAACTACGATGTAGCCACAGCCGCCCTGGGGCGCAGGTGACAGACGCGAGTCTGCCGAGCACAAGCGCCACCGGTCCCTCCGACCACCACCAGCAGGCAACGTGGGTTAAGTGTCTTGCCCAAGAACACAACAGCAGAATTCTCTGTCCCTAGCCGGGATCTAACCTGCAACCTAGGGCTGGGCGATATGACGATTTTAGACCGTTTTACGATCTACACATCTGACGGTCTGTCATTTTTGAGAGACCTTTTCATCACGATTCACAGCTCTGCTGTTGAATTTCTGCCTCTGAATGAATATGGAACTTACCTCAGGCGAATGACACGCCTTTGTTTGACCCTTAACCAATCAGAGTGAGTCATAGTAATATATTAGTGCCCCGCTTGTTTTCACCTGTGTGTGAACAAACATGGCTTCGGCCGCGGCTGAGAGCGACAACGAGGTTTTCGTTCCGAAGAGGAACGCAGGGTTTCCTTAGCGCGCGGCGCTAACAACTTAAGTGACGTGACATGTCTCGGAGAAAGCGTAAAAACACGTTGGACGCTTCTTCTGAAGCAGGAAAATAACACTTCTTCTTAAGCAGAGCACGACGTCGCCTCGGCTCGTTCACCCTCTGCCGAGCCGGTGTCGGTACCGGACTGAGCTCGGTCACTGGGTCGTTGGAGCTGCGCCGTGACTGCCTGATGGAAAACCAGCGGGTTTCATCAGACTCGTAGTTTCTTGTTTTTGCTGGGACCCCTGTATTTTACCGCTCCCTCCTGCAGTCTTCCCCTAATAAAATTTAAAATGATTCTGTAAACTCCGTGTATCAATAGAAACAATCTCTGCCTCTGCCAGCTGCAGTAAATGTAGTTTCCAAATAGTAAGAGGTGCATTCATCTGTGTATCTCCTTTGATCCGCATTAGTGATATTCTCAGCACCAGGACAGTGAAGCAAAGAAAGATTCCTGAGTTTGTTAGTAATTTTATTTATTAGGTGCATCTAACCTGTTCTATTTTTCTCTGAAATGAGATCAAATCAGTGCTTCTATGGGTTGTCTCCAATCTGCACTGGAAATTTTTAATTTATTTAGAGACTTGTTGCAGAAAATATTCAGAATGCGCAGTTTTTTGCTACCACAAGCGATCTCTGGTCCAGCCGCACATCAGAGCCGTATTTGAGCTTAACTATCCACTACATGAGCAACTGGGAGCTACATAGTATTTTGAATAAGTTAATGTTTGCACAATACGTTTGCAATTGACATGTTTGCACTTTAAATATGTTTACGATTTTAATTTATGTTAAGTTACTTGAAAAACGAGAAAAACTGATTTTTGTAATTGTTTCTCTCAGGGCTTTTATCATCTCTGGTGTGAGTTTAAAATATAAGTGTGTTAGCACTGTGCTGATTATCCCTAATATGAATAAATGTTTATTTATTCAATGTTTCTCTTCTTTAATACGCAATTGAAGTTATGCTATTCATGGATAAAAAAGCGTGATAAAATCGAAATCGTGATAAAATATTGGAAAAATCGTGATATTCTATTTTTGCCATATCGCCCAGCCCTACTGCAACCTTCCGATTCCTAGACAACCCGCTCAACCTGTTGAGCTACTGCTGCCCCATTTAACCAGTGTGAGTCCATGTGAGGTGAGCAAAGTGACCCGTCCTTCACAGCAGAGCGGAACAGTTTACTCGCGACTTTTGCTGTGGGCCAGTACACACCGGTAGAATCTCAGCCACAGAGCAGCTTCTCTGCCAGGCTTCTCGCTGGACTCACGAGATCACTAAATCTGTTGAGTTTATGCCATCCGCCATTAAACCAAAAAGAAAGAAATCACATTTGATATCAATGTTTGATGTCATATATGAAGTTGTTCCTCTCCACTGCCAGAATTAATGCCATGAAAAACACACCGCTTTACTTCTGGAACAGTACTGTGAGTAAATAAATCGTTTGTATTGACGTCATCTGCATAGATATGAAATCTAATTACTGCAACAGTCTTTTACTTTAAAAATTACTGGGGGGTTTGCACAAAAACTGTGTGTGATTTCCTATCTGGCCCAGTGTTAACTGTGGAAATTGTCGTGTCCCAGAAGCGGCTCATGACAAAAATAGAACCCTGTTCTGTTTTAAGCGGCAGGGCGTACCGCTTCTGGGACGGGCCCCACGTCGCGGCGGGTTTGAATCACCCCATAGCCTCTAATGGACTCTAATTGGGAGCAGTGATATTCTGCTGCTGTTCCACACTGCTGATGCTTCCAGTGTGAAGTAGAGGTAAATCAACTAAAATGCTGCTTGGAAATGACCAAATTCAAAGATCTTTAGAGACACAAAATATTTTGCTGAAAATAATTAATTAATAAAACTACAAAGTCAAAAGATTGAATCTTTGGCTGGCTAAATAAATCACTGCCGACACCACCGAGATTCAAACCCACATCAGCACATGGCAGAAAATAGTTGGCAAGCAGACACTTTCAGCACTAAACTACCACAGCCAGTAAAGCAACCAACTCTCCTAAGGCACTCTTGTAGGCATATTTTACCAGAGCAGGCTTTATTTCCTGGTTTAAATTCAAGTTGACAAAAATAACTTCTGTTTAAGATAAATTACATCTCAATAGCCAACAATAATATTTTATCATATACTGTGCCTGCCTTTCTTCTGAAAGGTTTAAAATAGCATGATATGGAACCGAAAAGGCTCATCAGATGATAAGCAAAACATCTTCAAGAAAATAATGAAGGTGCATTCTTTGGTTTCTTTGGTAGGGAAACTTTATCAGAAATAATCACTTTAGTAAAATAATTAGAACTTTGTATCTGTAGCATGCTGTTCTTCTCAA